CTTCCTGATAAGGTTGTGCAGCATGACGGCAGCTTTAATGAGCAGGCGGACTGTGTCTGGTTCCTGTCTCATCTGGCCAAGGAAGCACTGGAACCGCAGAGCCAGAATACCAAAGGCATTTTCAACCACACGACTTGCCCTGGACAGCCTGTAGTTGAAGATCTTCTGCTGTTGGTCCATGTTACGACGGCCATAAGGCTTCATCATGTACGTCCTCATGGCGAAGGCATAGTCTCCCACGAAGAAGTAAGGCATAGGGTGCTCTTCATCATCATGGGGAAGAGGAGCTGGATCTGGGATGCCGAAAGTGCCAGCTTCAATGCACTCCTTCAGTTCACTGTTGTTGTAGATCTGGGCATCAGACTGATGGCCAACCCCACCCACATCGATCCACAGGAACTGGTACTTTGAATCTACCAGAGCCATCAGGACAACCGAGAAGAACTGCTTGAAGTTGAAGTAAAGGCTGCCTGATTTGTTGGGCTTCTGGAGACGGATGTGCTTTCCATCATAGCCTCCCAGACAGTGAGGAAGATTCCATCTGGCTTCAAAATCACCTGCAACCTCAAGCCAGCCTTCATTGGTTGTGGGGAGGGAGATGACTTCTGCAGCATACTCATCCACTACCGCTCTGGCTACATCAGGGACAAACTTCTGGATGGTTTCCTTGCCCATTCGGAAGTTGAAATACAGCTCGGCATAGGTGGCCCCATTGGCGAGATGGCGCAGGAAGACGGACAACTTGAGACCAGGGGAATGGCCTTCCTGATGTGGGTGTCCTTTTTCTGCAAGTGGGGTGTAAGCCTGACCAACAGGTCATCAAACATCTCTGGGGACACCCTGGTGTAGTTCTTGAACTTCCTCCTGTCATTCTTACTCAGCTCTTCCATCAAAGTGTGGTACTGTCCACGTTCGGCCCTCATCTGTGGGTGGAGCATGGGTCTAAACCACCAGTTGTGCTTCCTTTTCTTCTTAGGAGGCTCTTCTTCTTCAGGATTGGCCAGCATAAGTTGATAGGCAGTGGCCACCTCAGCATCTCTCATCATCTTCTGATGGAGCAGCATCATCACTCCAACATTATCAAAAGCCTCAGACATATCAAAATTGTAAATATTTAGTAGAGATGTTGTTCATACAGCAGCTGAGGAGGGTCTGAACCAGGTAGCCAATGGCCGGTATTTATTTAGTCGGCAAGTAGCGCCAAGCGGCGGCAAGTTCAAACCAATTTGGCGACCTTTGGCACAAACTAATCACGAAGTGGCGCAAAGTAGCCGTCTATTGGCGCGAATGGCGCCAACAGGGTGAATTTTGAAATCAAATGGCCGTGTAATGGCGCAAACTGGCGCGAACTGGCGCAACATTTTGGAGCAAGCCGGGTGGCATTTGGCGCACGCCATATGGCACCCAGTTTATTCCACTTGGCGACACATGCCGAGCGGACATTAATTCGGCGCCACAGCGAGCCACTACGCGCCAATCACATAATCTTTGGCGCGAACTGGCACCAACTGGCGCCGGCCCAGTGGACTCCTAGCATCAGATAGTCCTTAAACCATGCAAAAGGTTAAACTCGATTGCCATAATTAGAGAGTTTAGCTAGCAGTATATTAAGATTAATGGTGTCAAAATTGCTTTCTTAAAATCGATGAATATGCCAAGAGTAAATCTCACTGCATCGTTCCTGCAAAAGTAACCAATATAATAATCTTGATGCAGCGAAGCATATAAGAGGGTAAAAGTTTACCCAATACTGGGTATAATTTACTCAAAATTGGATAAGGTTTACGCAATATTGGGTAGTAATATGCCCAACAAAGTGGTTTAAAAAAGAAAATTGGGCTGAGATCTAAGTCTTCTTTCAAACATGATTTTAGACCCTGGATAGGACTTAAATGAATAGGAGAATACGGACCTTAGAGTATACCTTTAATATGTTTCGAGAAAATCTAATGATTTGGTTTGTTAAAACCAAATGACAGTTACTTGGAAGATTACAACAACCATAATTATAGTGCTGTGTTATCTAAATAACGATGCTCAGACCCTGGATTAATGGGTGACATAGAACAGATTGTGTCTGTTTCTTAATCACTGGTGTCTGTGTCATCATCTTCCATTTGATCAGCTGACTTTGTTCTCTCAAACGCATAGTTCTCGCAGAGCTCTTGACAATCCCCACGATTCATGCGTTCGAACGCCTTAGTCAAGTCCCCAAGGTTCTGAATCTTCTTTTGACTCTCAGCAAGAACGAGTAGTTCTTCAGTCGGATTCTTGCACTCCTCCAGTGATTGTATGTAGGCCCCAAGTCCCAGCTCACTGGCAAGACCCCTCCAGTCATCAAAAACTGGGCTTTTTCTGTCCAACCGGCAACGCAACTCATGCTGTAGCCTAGGAGGTACTATGGAAGCAATGGGAACAGGGGGAGAGGCAACAGTATTTCCTTGAGGATTATTCACTTGGACCTGTTGGAAGCTGAAATAGAAGTTTCCAGAACGCTGATCTTCTGAAAATTTTGGACCCAATTCTTGTAAAACGTCTTTCGCCAATGCTGGTAGGGCTAAGGCTCCCATTGTAGGCCTACCCTCTGCTGCAGACTCTGCCGGATGGACGGGCACTGGCGATGATGTCGGAGCTTAAAACAAAACGAACAAAAGATGATATGACGTAAATCAATTACATCTTTCGAATTTCCGAAGAGCATGTGAAGCGTATATCACAATATATGCGCTTCCAAAGTACTTATGATATTATTACCCCGGTTAAGTTCCAGCAACCGTTCCAGGTAGCCTACCCACTCAGGCGCGTACGCAGGGGGGTGTTTGGGGGGTTAAACCCCCCCCCCCCCCCCCCTTTGGATTTTTTTTCTTTTTTTTTTTTTTTTTAATTATAAAAAAAAAAAAAAAAAAAAAAAAAAAAATACCCCCATGGCTGACCTAAGAAGGCCCCCCAACGGAGCAAAATGTCAAATTTTCAAATTTCGAGACCAAAAAAAAAAAAAAAAAGTGTCCTCTTATGTGTTTCTAAAGTACTCAAGATATTATTAACCCGGTTAAGTTCCAGCAACCATTTCAGGTAGCCTACCCACTTTTTACACATGGGTCGAGTTTAGCATATATAGATTAATGTTTTGCCAAAGGATGTTCGTTCGTTACTATCTGTAAAACAAAATTAAATATCAGTAACGATTCGTCTTAAAGTTACGATTCATCGAGGAGATGATAAGACTAATTTTTGGGAAATAAAATTGACTTTTTCGTTGTTACGGAGCACAGAACACGACTTTAACCTTCAGCTCCTTACCGATTGCTCCTGTCTCTGTTACCAAATCATGTGTGACTTGGTAGGGATGTTCACATAACTGTGACTTTGTCGATGGTGGAGTCAACGGGCTAGGCCTTGTAAGAATTTCAGTAGGACTACTTCCGTCTGGAAAAAAAGCAATGTAAAAATAAAAGCTTTTAGAAAATTATGTGTGACTTGATCCGTTATTTATCGCAAGTTGACCCTCGACTTATGTTGTATTAGTTTGGTTTATTGACATGATTGAGATAATATCATGGAACATGTAGCGAAGAGGTAAAAATTATAAGGTATAAAAACCATTGATAATACATTAAATAATATTTAAAACAAAGACTAATTTGAAGCATATAGGCCGCAGTAGCGGTTCTAATTCCGCTCCCCCCCCCCCTTCCCCAAAAAGAAGCACATGTAGAAAACGGATGCTAGAAGACCCCACCCCCTCCTTCCCCCGCCCCCCCCCCCCAAAAAAAAAACACACACATAAACATACATATGTATTCCTCCAGAACCGCTCCTGATAGGACATAGTCTTACCCTTTGTGTCTGCAGGCTCAGGCGATGTTGAACCTATCGTTTCAAGATCATGCTCGCTTGTCTGCCCCTTGGAGAGCTGAGATGCTGAAAATACAATAATCAATCACAATCGAACCAGAATAGCACAAATACATGGTTATTTGTTCGATTTCGTTCAAATCGTCTCTTTACAATAAGGAAATTGTTTCATATAACAAGCTCGCCGAAATAATAATAATAATATTTTTTTATTTTTATATAGCGCTTAATACAAATGTCTCTAAGCGCTTTACAAATATATTATTACCCCGGTCATTGGATTCAGTGCTTTCCCGCACACAATGTGTGCACAATCCCATTGAATGGAGTAATTCTACACTCGTTTTCACTTGTACCCATGACGCTTTCGTCAAACGATGCCCTACATGCCAAAAGGTTTGTGTTTGAAAAAACAAGAACAGAATAACAAAAAAGGCAAAAATAGTATTAATACATTTTATTAAATCTTACATTTGGATGTTCCCCGTCCAACATCAGTTGGTTCAGCTTTGCCTTTGGACGATGCAGATCCTGCCGGAGTCGATTGGGTAACTGGATTCTCACGCGGCACATCTAAATTGTGAATACATGATATCAAAGTGATGAGCCAATTAGCCTAAAATGATCATTATTCCAACTTGAAGTCACTTGCTAAGGTGCTTTAGCTACACTAAATAAAATGTTTAGCATTGCACGTAAACATAATGTGCATATATAAGTGTGTGTGTACAGGGTGGCCCAAAATATAAGCACTAGCATACTGGTACTAGCAGTAGTATAATCTTTCCAAATATCCAAATAGCATTTTGTCCGGTATCAATGAAAATGCGTTTTAAAAATTCAGATAATCGGACGTTTTTCTTACACCTGTCATTAAAAATTATCTTAATTGAAAGAAATAATGTTTTGAAGTGATATGTTTGTGTTTAATCTGACGTTTTGTTACAGCTTGTCCGAAGGTCAGGCAAATAACCATTCCTGAAATTGCACAAGAATACGATCTTCTCTGCCAGCACTGCCAGTGGAAGTCTTTAAGCCCCCCCCCCCCCTCCCTCCCCCGAAAGGAATCCATGCTCTTGACATTACCGTTGTACTGTACTGGAAAGGTGATCTTCTTCGTGATTTTTTGCTTCAAGATGAGAGTGACAAGAACTCCGGATACTATTCTTTCACGTGGCTGAAGAGTGAACGGCATCCGATGGGTCGTCATGTCAAAGAAAGCACATTCTTCAAGTTCCTATGGAAATTAGAGATAACCATTAATTAATATCCTACGAAGTTATAGGGAACGGTGCCATTGTCGTAATTTAAATGTTATATCATGAATCATGACCCATGTTTGAATCGAGTTTCCTGAAATTATATTATAATGAGATGGTGTTGTGCAATGAACAGTATGCTAAGGTGGAAAGTTCATCAGTTCGATATCGCTTTAAGAAAGCTCTATTTCTTTGGTAATGTAAAATATATATATATTAAGACCTGCAGAATAGGTAACGGATGATTTGTTTGTCAGGATAATTTTCTTCGGGGAAAACAACAGTAACAATTATATTGGGATTGTTACCTCTTTTGACACTTCCTCTTTGTTTTCCAGATGTCTGACAGAAAGGGGTCCTTTTCCCCAATATACACAGTACTGCTCACCAAGAAAGGCTACCTGGTAGTCTCGTATGGTATCCTGCAAAAGGTTGAACATATATGAATCAATTTGAAAGAATGATAATGACAATAATAGTAATTATAATAATAATAATAGTTGCAATAATTGCACTGAATATACACTGAATATTTACTTCAAGTGTTTGCTATACAAACAAAAAAAATTATTATATATCTTAGTTGCATGGACTTACTAAAGGATTTCCTGTACAATTAAACTTTCATTTAAATTCAATAAATGTTAAAAATGGACTTCAAATTCTTATTCAGCTAAAACTAAACCGAACCGTTAATTTGTGATAAATATACCTCTTTCATGCCACAGAAGTCGTCTTTAATGACGAGATAGATGCGGTTTAACACATCTCTGTATGTTGATAGCGGAACGTAGGGCGTACAGATGAGCCGTTTACCGATGAAGTATCTCCTGATTAGGGAGATAATCCACCATTCCGAGAAATGGTCTAAGTACAGAGTAAGGTGATTCTTTGCGACTACACATCGAGCAGCTTTGTCAGAAGCAGGAACTATCCTTGCAAATTCATCAGACTCTGTCAAGAAAACAAAAAAGGGGACCGTGTTTATTTTGTTACGCAGTGAACTGTCATACACTGGGATTTACTTTCACAAATAAAGAAAGGAAGTATTTTTCTGCAAGTTTTGCGGGTTTTCTGGGGAACCTTGTTGGAGAGTCATTGTTTTACTCATGAACAATGACATTACAAAATGACAATTGCTTTTTGGTGATTGGCTATTAACAACATGTTTTATGCATTAAATCATTCTCATAATTCCCTTCGATCTTTCCACACGAATCCTGAAAACAGCGGCTGTATATAAACTGTGCGATTTATAAGTTATTTAAACACAAAGACTGAAACAATTTTTCTTTAAGTGAATTTCTATTCTAATAGAATTTGATCATGTAAAACTCAGTGAATGAGAACATTCTCAGAGGAATATCAACGTCGAAGTGAGGTCATTTGATACCAAGAAAAGTAGGGAAGAATTAATTTTGTGTGAAGATCTCTGTCATAATTGTGATGAGGTCGTCGTGGCAGTCAGGTGCTCTCTGCACTGTCACAACAAGAGAAAGGAATTTATATGGAAATATGGGATATATGGTAATAGGAAGATCTTACCAGTCCTTCGGGTGTATAGCACAATTTCTGCCTTGTCTGGGTTGGTGAAAATAGCGCTATGTGAGACCGTGACTTCCACCGGAGTTTTAAACTGAAGACCAGGAGGGGATAGCTTGAGCCCAACTGAGATGATAACTTCGTCTTTTTCCAGGTTTAAGTCAGGTGGAATGGTTGTCAATGCTTCTGCTGTGATATATTTGGCTCTGTCCACATCGTCTGGTGAAATTGGAACCTTGATGCTGTACTCGTCGAGACTTATAATCATCGTCTCTTCTGTGATACTCTTCCTCGAGGAGCGAGAGCTGTCTTGTGGACTGGTAAGATATGGATCGTATGTTCGGGAGTATTGGGGCATTAAGCCAGGGAAAGCCTCACTACCAAACGTACTGCGAAGGTAGTCATAGTGCTCCTCTTTACACCCAATGAATGGCTTAACGATCTTTGTTGCTTCTCTATTTAAGAGATAGTCATGTATATCCAGATGGCCGCCATTAAAAGCAAGGCGTGAAGGTGTCCAGTAATCATTTGCACGTCTCCACAGGTCTGCCCCTTTACTAACAAGGTATTTTACAATATCAAAATGACCCTTACGTGATGCTATGTGAAGAGCTGTAAACCCATCTTTATCACCAATTTCAATGCCTGCTCCTTTGTTCACGATATACTCGACGACTTCAAGATGGCCTTCTTGAGAAGCATAAGACAAGGGTGTCTTGTAGTTGTTGTCACATATGTCAAGCTGTGCCCCTTTCCTAACAAGGTATTTGACAATATCAAGATGACCCTTGAATGATGCAATGTGAAGAGCTGTAACCCCATCTTTATCACCAATTTCAATGCCTGCTCCTTTGTTCACGATATACTCGACGACTTCAAGATGGCCTTCTTGAGAAGCATAAGACAAGGGTGTCCTGTCGTTATTGTTACATTTGTCAAGCTGTGCCCCTTTCCTAAGAAGGCATTTGACAATATCAAGATGACCCTTGAATGATGCGTTGTGAAGAGCTGTACCCCCATCTTGATTACAGCTATCAATATTTGATCCTACGTTCAGTAAGACCTCGACAATACCCAGATGACCTCTTTCTGTTGCAAAACTCAAGGGTGATGTCCCGTTCTTGAGTGCTTTGTCAACCTCCACCCCTTCGTTAACGAAAACTTTTACAATATGAAGGTGTCCCCCGAATGAAGCCAAACTAAGCGCGGTCCAACCATCGTCAGTGCTCCTATCCAGCTCTGCTCCTCGACTGGTTAGATATTTTACTCCATCAATATTACCAGTTTGTGATGCAGTATGCAGAGCTGTATATCCACGTTTACCACACGTGTTAATGTTGGCTCCTTCTGTCAAAAGGTACTCTGCAATGTCAAGACGGCCACCGTCTAAGGCAAGATGTAGAGGTGTCCAGTAATCATTAGCAAGTCTCCCCAAGTCTGACCCTTTGCTAACGGGGTATTTGACAATATCAAGATGACCCTTGAGGGATGCACTGTGAAGAGCTGTAAACCCATCTTTATTACCAATTTCAATGCCTGCTCCTTTGTTCACGATATACTCGACGATTTCAATATGGCCTTTTTGAGAAGCACAAAACAAGGGTGTCCTTTCGGTTTTGTCACATTTGTCAAGATGTGCACCTCTGCTAATGAGATGATGCACTATTTCAACGTGTCCATTGGACGCTGCAATGTGGAGTGCTGTTAGCCCGTCTCGGTTACAGTCATCAATATTTGCTCCTACGTTCAGTAAGACTTCGACAATACCCAAATGGCCTTTTTCTGTTGCAAGACACAATGGTGTCATCCCGTTCCTGAGTGCTTTGTCAACCTCTACCCCTTCGTTAACGAGAACTTTGACAATGTCAAGGTGTCCCCTAAACGAAGCCAGACTAAGCGCGGTCCAACCATCCTCAGTGATCTTATCTTGCTCTGCTCCTTGACTAGTTAGATATTTCACTCCATCAATGTTTGTGATGCAGCATGTAGAGCTGTACATCCACCTTCACCACACGAGTTAATGTTGGCTCCTTCTGTCAAAAGGTACTCTGCAAGGTCAAGATGGCCACCATTTAATGCAAGGTGTAGAGGTGTCCAATAATCATTAGCAAGTCTCTCCAGCTCTGCCCCTTTACTAACAAGGTATTTGACAATGTCAACATGGCCCTCGAATGATGCTATGTGAAGAGCTGTAAACCCATCTTTGTCGCCAATTTTAATATCTGCTCCTTCGTTCACTAACAGCTCTACCACATGAAGATGGCCTTTCTTTGAACATAAATGAACCGATGTCTGTAGGTTAGCATCGATTACATTCATCTTTGCTCCATGATTGGTTAGGCATTTAACCGTTTGCAAATGTCCGTTTGCCGAAGCAATGTGAAGGGGTGTCTTGCCAGATGCATCCGAGCAGTTTACATCAACTCCTCTCGAATCCTCGGACTTGTCTTCTGAGTCGATTAATGATTGTATCTTCTGGACGTCTCCTATTGCCGCTGCAGAAAACAGCGCCATGTTAAACGTAATTCACACCTACAATGTTTTCCTCATGATATTACCGTGCTTTCCTAACATCATGATATTTGATATTAAAGTACTGTGTAAATAAGCACGTATCCTTTAGTATCGATGATCTTTGGACTATTCTGAGTGTCACATGGATTGTACTCGGCTTAGTGGCGATACTCACATATAACAATAATCAATCAGAAAACGAGTTGTAGTTTGATGGTATGATTTTTAATTGAACAATAAAACGAGATATAACAGACGTTCACACGTAATCAACGTTGACAAACCGAAACTGAATCGAATCGTAGGTTACTAAGAGGGTCAAATTACATTAACACTGTCATAAACTAGACCATTGTTCAATTATTAAATATATTTGTGGCATTCCACCCAGTAAATAAGATCGATTGATCGATCTGTATCAATAAGGTCGATTGATCGACCTGTATTGAAAAAACACAAGTCAGAAAAAATCTTGGAACCAGCGGGATTTGAACCTGCCATCTACTGCTTGCCGGGCAGCGACTCTACCACCAGGCCATCACTGGTCCATGGCACAGTCACGATGAACTAGAAACAAATACCTAAGCTCTCCTGATTAATTGTTCGTTTAACACTTTGGAGACGACGGGCTTCTACAGCAGCCGAGCGAGTTGTTAAGTCTGTGACGACGGGCTTCTACAGAAGCCGAGACATATCCCTAATATGTTGACAAAGTTGTCCAGCTTATTATTAGCTATTATGTGCTAAAGTTCTTTGAATTATTATTTAGATATATTCATTTATCTCATCTATTAAAAAAATAATATAGTTACGTAGAAAAAAATCGAGAAAAAGTGATATCATTTCAGCTTCACTCTAAAGTTAGTGTTCGGATGGAAAAAAAGGCCCGAAATACCCGTACAGCTGAAGACGGACGCGTACGCGCGCGTCCGTTCTATATTCTTGCCAGGATTCTGGCTTGACGCTACTTCCAAGTTCCGTATGCACACTTCCCCTTTTCAGATATTCGTATTACGGGTCGTATTATCAGTTCGATTTCGACCCTGATTACTTATTTATATATATCTACCCTACCGGTGTGGCATTTTTTTCATCATATGCTATTTAAATCTAAGCCTTATCGATGTAGGGTATTTACATGACAATACGCTGTTCATTTTATAAACTTGACCAATTTAGCGAATCATTCATGTATGGACCTCTTTTATGAAAGGCTTATCCCCCACCCTAAGAGGAACAAAAGATTGTAAAGAAGTAACTAGTCTGGAAGTTTACCGTTTTGAAAGAAGAGGATGTAAGCCTAAACGTAGGTCAATAGGTCAATCTACATGACAATCAAACAACCACTCTAACTTATATACCTTAACTAGGGCATTTAACCATTTTAGAGCAGGTATGAGTAAAATATCTTGATCAACCTAAATAAAAAAAAAAAGCCGGTCTTGGTTTGAGCGGGCATATGAAATGTTGAAATGTTATGTTCTGAAAAACGACCCCTTACTCTTATCATATCACTCTTGTCTTGAGCAACTTCGGCGGTAAAGCCACGAATATGAGACTTTTCCGGCGCAAAGATGCTACCATTGTTGAAGAAAAAAAATGCAAGGCAACATAAAATCAAGTTTTCTGGCAATGAAGAAAAGCGAGTGCACGATGAAGAAAATAATTGTTATTATCATTACTATTTTATTACAATATTGTGAGCATCATCACCATCATTTCATGTACCGGTTTACATGTCCATGCCATCTACAGAACTAATCATGAAACGAGGATTATCAAAGTTTTATTGACACGATATGTTGAACAAAAACACAGATGGAGACGAAGACAAATAAATTAAATTCTCACGTTGTTTGCACTTCTTTCTTTATTGTTTCATATTATAATGGATTACTATATTTTCAATATCATTTATTTTCGAATAAATAAAAGACTACCAAGACTACGGCGATTAACTCCTTATTAGCCACACCCTTTCAACAACAAACAAAAACAACGCGATGCGGAAATAAAACACACTGAAGCACAATTCCAATTTCACAAAATTCCTGACGTATTCAGAGAGGGAGGGGAGGAGGGAGACAGAGAGACAGAGAGACAGACATAGACAGACAGAGATAGATAAATAGAAAGAGAGAGAGAGAGATGATTGTGATGAATTATGATTTTGTTGTAATCTCTGTCATTGATTTAGCTCTTTCCATTACAAACAAAACAAATCAAATATGCGTACAAAAATTCAATAAATATTTTATTGATACAGCAACCTCATATCAAAATATGGTTCAAAGAGATGTATAGATAGAGAAAAAAATAAACAAAATTAAGCGGGAGGCAAAAACTAAAACAAAATGAATATTTCAAATTATGAGAAACGAAGTCGAAAGCATTGCACATTTAAAAAAAAGGGCATTTAGTGTAGATCATGGCATAATGTTGGTCAGAATATAGTTACAAAATGTGTCGAAAACCCATGTAAAACCACGAAAGCTTAGGCCTATTATTTATGGCTCGGTTGATAATCGTCCGAGCTTTAGACGACAATCATTGACAATGGGGAAATGAATGGAGGTATCGACCGATCTGCGCGTGCGACGGTGCTTACGCATTTTGTATTGTGAGTGTATTGAAAAGGAAAGGCGTGAAGCTTCAGCAAAATAAGACGGCAATTCCCCTAAAAATTGGTATTGTAAAATGTAAAAAGATGGTACATGTATTTTTTGCATGCAATGTTCAGTTCTCCTTATTCATACACCTCATTGCACAGCTCAGCAGCATTTCAAGTTCCATTTGGAGACATGCCAGAGTCCTCAGCAGCACTAAACGTCCGACCATGGTGGTACAAGGGTCTGAATTTCAGACTATTACTTAGGTTGTTGCAATCTCTTATGTCGATCTGACAATTAATGGTTGTTATTTCCCACAAAAGCCATTTACAAACCCTTTCGTTTTGAGAGAGTTCTTAATAAGTATTTTCCTTTCGAACGCCGTTGGAATTTAACCTTTTCATTTTGTTTTGACCTGCAAATGGGAGGTAGTACCTTCAACAAGATTAAATTTATCCTCAATATACGGTGTTGTCAAAGATGAATTTATCCTCATTTTTAGCTGCTTTGAACGAAGGTTGGCAAAGATGAATTCATCCTCTCGTGTTAACGAACATTAATTTATCCTTATTTTACTGTCTAAACGAGGATTAATATATCCCATATAGCTGTTAGATGAAGATGAATTTATCCTCATTTAATTGTGTTAAAGAAGATTAATTATCCTTATTTTACTGTATGAACGAAAATTAATTTATCCTCCTTTTAGCTGTTAATGAAGATTAATTTAACCTCAATAAATTGTGTTAATCCAGATTAATTCATCCTCATTTAGCTGTTAACGAAGATGAATTGATAACGAAAATTATTTTTTCCATATTTTACTTTGTGAACGAAGATGAATTAATTCTCATTTAGCTGTTAACGAAGATGAATTTATCCTCATTTAACTGTTAGATGAAAATGGATTTATCCTCATTTAACTGTGTTAACGAAGATTAATTTATCCTTATTTTACTGTGTGAACGAAGATTAATTTATCCTCATTTAGCTGTGAACGAAGATTAATTTTTCTTCATGTAGCTGTTAAATGAAGATGAATTTACCCTCATTTACTTGTTAAATGAAGATGGATGTTGCGTTTGCCGGTTGTTGCCCTCCTACTCCCACCTGCCTCCTGAATTGCTCCTTTAGAAAGCAACATGAGCTCATCGAAGCCCCATTGTTCATCATCGTAAACAAAATATGTTCTTTCAAACACCTGTGGTTCCTTCTGGATACTTTCAAATGTTGAATTTATTTCATTTGATGTGATTTGAGTTAATGCTAATTTATTTCCATATACATGTTCATCACTTTTATAGTTACAATGCTGTTAATGTTTGGAATTTGTATTAGATTTTTGTGTTTAATTGATTGATTTACCAACAGCAAATAAGTACCATGCATTTCATACAACGATATTTATATGTACAAGAAGAGAAAATATTGGTTGGTAAAAGGGGCTAGATAATATTATATTTGCTAGCCGATCCTAACGCATTCGACTAAACAATGTAATTTGTACAAGTAACCTTCGGAAAACAAACAAAAAAGGAATCTACCCTTACAATCGATACTAACAAAATAGGCTTCAATAACAATGTCTTACAAGATACAAACTTATAATATCAAATATAATTTTTGTACATATACAGACTATTTGCATAGATTTTGTATTGATGATTTGATCAACAAATGTGTTGTAACAGAATCTGACATTAGCAGGTAATCTATTCCAAAATTTTAGTTACCACAAAAGACAATAATAATCGACCTTGTGTCGTTTTAATTTTTGAAGACGTATAATTGTCCACTTTCTGTTTGCCTTCTGGAGTAGCTTTATTCTAGAATATTACAGTAATCTATCAAAATATGAGGAAACATATTATTTAAAAGAGCAAACATAAAAATAGAGATTGTTAAATAATCCAAATTATAAAAAGTTAGGATTCACAATCTTTTAAGTAGTGCGCTGTAGGAGTTCTCCACTTTCTACATGCACAAAAAGCACGAACTGCCACAATTATTATACAAGAAGATAAAATATAGGTTGGTAAAAGGGGCAAGATAATAACATATGTGCTAGTCGATCCTTACGCCTTACAGCTAAACAATGTTTTCTGTACAAGTAACCTTCAGGGGAAAAATGAATTTACCATTATACAAACGATACTAAGACAAACAAATTCTCTAACAATGTCGTACAAGATACAAACTGATAATATGAAATAGAATATGTGTATACATATAGACTATTCGCAATGATTTATAATTAATGATTTGTTCCACAAATGTGTTGTAACAGAATCTGACATTAATAGGTAATCAAGTAACTAATCACAAGAGACAATGAAAATAGATTTTTGTGTCGTTCTAAATTTTGGGAGACGTAATTTTCCACCTTCTGTT